TAAATGTGACTAAACACAAAAGCTTAGAACTAATTAAAAGGTGTGCAGCCATGTCCCCTTAAGAAACATTATCTGTCATCCAACCCCATATGTCTCCAAGACAAGACAGAAACAGCAAGATTGCTAAAGTGAAATCAGCAGGAAAAAAGACACAACTGAGTGCAATCAGCATAAATGGTGATAACTCAACCCATAACAGAGAAAAATAAAAGAGAAGGCGTACAGCTTTTGAAGAGCGTCAGCCCTGAGGGACACCATAACACACCTGTGTTAATAAGTTAAAGAACAAAAGATGTGCTTAAACTGGCTACCACCTGACAGCCAAGAAGCAAATTCAGAATATGTGGTTTTCAGAGAGCAAAAGGGTAAAGCTGCTTGTAGCATGCAGGGTTTTAGCTGTTCCTGGCCTTAGTGAAACTGCACTGAATTTCTTGTAAGGAAGTAGAACAGGGTGCCATGAAAAGCACAGTTCTGCAGTCAGCAAAATATTTCCTCCATTAAGAATTAGTATCCACTGAGGTGCCTGTGGCAGATTCACCAAAAATTCAAAGCCTTAGTAAAGAAGAGTCACTCCTTTCTCTGGTGGTCTCTGCAAAACTGCTCGAATAAAGGCAAAACACCAAAACTCTTCTGGTGTAAACTGGTGTAGTTCAGTACAGTGCAGTTATTTTGAACTCCGAAAGCTTTGCCCAAAACTTTTAAAGATTTCAGTCTAATCAGGCAACTTGAGCAAAACTGCAGAAAATATATAAAAAAACACAGCAAACTTCAGTCAGAGTGACAGACTTTGGGTTGATTGGTGCCTTGTTCTTTGGTGCCTTATGTAGCTATATCCACCTGATGAAAATGGATAAAGCTGTTACCATCTGAGGGATTTCTAAACTTTAAATCCTGATGATCTACTTTTGTATCACTTTGTGCTGGTGTGAATGGTTATCAAAGCTGCTGATCCAATAAAAATTAAACCAATAATCTTGTGTTTATTAAAAAGGTACCTTTATCCTGTCACCATCAGAAAAGGTATATGTGAAATCATTTAAGTTACAATGAGAATAGTAATGATGTAATCTTTTCCTGTAGCATTTTGACCCCCAAAATGATTCTGATACAAATATAGTCAAGATAAATCACCTGAAAGGATGGTCTACATTGAAGATCATCAGAATTAAAGCACAGGCACAGTCCCAACTAAAGCTATATGTGCCATCATATATCATTTTTGCAATTAGATAGCTAATTGCACTTACTCAAGAGTCAAGTTACTGAAACTCCAAAGCATTATTGGAAAAGCAGAAGTAATTAACGTAATAAATACCTTGCCTGTACACTAGGTACAAAAGGTTTTACAGATTTTCAGGTTTTTAAAAAATTAAAGAAATTGCTTCTATTATTTTCTGCTGGACTAAAAATTTATTTAGTAATTGTTGAAGGATTTTTGAAGGCTGAAATCCTCCAGCAAACCACAGACTGTGCTGACAGTGATGGTAAAACAACTGAAAAGTACATCCATATTGGAGCACAGAGAACTTTCTTTGACTACCACAATAAAAAAAAGTCTCTCTGCAGAGCTGTTGTGCGTGTATGTAAACAGCCCAGAATAAAAAGAGCAGAGCACTGCTCATGCACTTCTAAGGCACTTCTAGTGCTGTCTCTCAAATAAAAAAAATATCTCCAGATAGTAATCTCTCAAATTCTGCTACTGCAATCAGTGGCAGTAAATAACTTTTTAAAAAATTAAGAAATTCTGAAGAAAGGTTCAGAGTATCACAAGATGAAATAGTCTCACACAAGGAAAGCCCTGCACTTTGCTCTAAAGAAAAATGAAACAGATAAAGAACCAAAATTGGAAGTATAATTAATTTCAGTTATTGTTCTCTGTTCTAGCAATTGATTTGATTGCAAACCTATTTATTCTTTGCTATTAATATGGAAGAATATCTTATCCCTTTTTTTAAGATCCTAATTTAAATGATTAATGTCAAAATTTCCTTTTCTGCCAGGAGTGCATTCAGAAAACATACAAACATTAGGTAATAATTTAATTATTCCTGTTTCCAATGCAAATATGAAATATTGAAAGAGCAAAATGGCTAGGAAGAACATAATAAAACTCAGGAAATATGTACTTAAAAGTCTGATAATTAGGTTTTTAAAAAAATAATTAGGTTTTTTAAAAAAAATAATCTTTTAATGTCACTAAACAGTACTGGTGTTGATGAGTAATGATGAAACCTGTGACCAAATCTGTCTTTGTTCTGAGGCAGCTCTTCATTTTAACATCACAGTTCATCCAAAACTCTGCTGCTGGGTATAACTGAAGGCGGTTGGTAGTTAAAAAGCACGCGGTGAAAAGGCTGAAACCTCCTCCATTATCTACTTTTAAGTCTCTTTTTGGATCTCACCCAGGTCACGGCTTCTGTAAAATATTAGAAAACACTTAGGCAGCCAATGTACTGTATCTACTGCCTCCCCTAATGCACTCTTCCTCTGTCATTCACCTGCTTCTGATTGCTCTGGTCAAGGAATTGCTGGGACAGAAGCTCTGATGAGCAGGAAGCACTGTTTTGCCACACACGTCTCAGTGCAGCGTGTTCTCATCCTCATACTTTAATGTAGGATGGTCACTAGAACAATAAGCTTGGGATATTTCTGGCTGAGAGAAAAGAAAGGGAGAAGAATAACTGCCAGATTTTATTTTGGACGTGAGTGCCACTATGTTAATGTCATCAATAAGAGAACTTAATTGGCAGAAGAATAGATTGATCTGACAATAATATAGATTTACAAAGACACCAGTCCATATATAATCAAGCACCTTTCAAGACCTGCCAAATATAAAACCAGGACATTGCTGAAGGGAAGTGTTTTCTTCTACACACCATGGGAATTGCTCTTAGATGAGCAACTTCAGTTTAAATTTTATATTTTTTCTTTGTTCATTATTTTAATTTTTCTCTATCAACAGTCAAACCATATAAAAATATAGCAAAGATATCAGAATACCAGAAAAGGATCAGAATTATCAGAAAACAATGTAATAGATAATGAAAGAAGAGAGGGAACAGAATATTTTCCACACTGAACAAGACATTGTCACTGGTAGCTCTGAGCTACTCAGATCTGAACACCCCCAAGTGGTGCTGGGTCTTACACCTAGAAGCTTAGTTTAGGCCTGTTTCCAGCTAGCTGAGTTATTCAGGGTGACAAGATGTGCTGACACGGGTCCTCAGCAGGGACAGCATGCATGGAAAAATGTGTGCTAAGGTGGAGGTTTTCTGCCACACTCCTCCATTGTTGCAAGGACTGGCTGTTGGCAGAAGAGTTCCAATGCAGATGAGGTTTGCAGTACAGCTATTAAAATATTCCAGAGCACTAGGCTAATGCTAAGATCTGTGTGTGAGGAAACCATCTGCCACCTGTGGCTTCTATGTCACCCCTTTTGTTCATGAGCTTTGGGGTGCCCACAGATCACCTCTGCTCTCCTACGCACACAGGAGAGAACAGAAATCATCTGTGAAATCCCCCCCCACAAAAATGAAAAGGAAGCTTTTTCATTTTTTCAAATGCTAAATGAGGAATTTGAATGAAAAAAATGTTTTCACTGGGATAGAGGTCAGTGCAATATTTGGCATATATAACAACCCCAAAATTCCAAAGAATTCCATAAAACCCCATTCTATTAAACCCATTACTAAGGTATAAGTCTGATTATAGTTTGATCTTAGTTATTTACATTCAATTTCTGATAATGATATGATTGGGATTTCCTAAATCTCTCACATAAGTAAACTATACATAGTGCAACATATATGACACCATAGAACATTTGGAATTTAAAAATATAAATCCTCTTAGTGAGGCACTGAAAACAGATCATCATGTTGATGCAACTTAATGGAATTCTAGAACTGATTCAAGTTAGGTTTTACTTTAATTCATCGGATAATAAGTGTGAAGTGTAATTACATAATATTAAAATGCAGTGAAATTGTTTCACACAACAAAGCTTGACCATTAAAAATTAGACAACAGAGGTGGCAAGAATATGCTGCACTAAAGCTGCACCAGCAATGTAACTTCTTTGCAAGGAATAAGTCTGAAGAAATATTTTACTTAAGTCTTTTAAAAATCCTTCACAAATGCCATCTGGTTATGGCCATTACCTATGAAGAGATTGAAAGGAGTGGCTTTACAGAAATATAAATAAGATACTGCAGCATGAGACAAAAATAAATGAACATTTAAACTGCACTGTATAGTAGTTATTTTCCCTGATAAATATATTTATCTGGGGAACAAGACATAAAATGAAAAACCATACATTGTTGGAAACCATTTTTAAATCACATATCTCCACAATGTTGTTTTTTTACAAATAAGGGAAAATTATTGTATAACTGAGTTAGGAAAGTGCAATACTTCTTAAAAATAGTCCTCTTCTAAAGATATTAAATACGAATACTCTGAAAATGACAATAGTGTTTACCATGGAAATAATATTTGCACAAAACAGGACACAATAACATCTCCTAAAACAACTGAGCAGCAATAGCAGTGCCACTCTGCGTTTCAAATATTTATATCCAATGTATTTATAATAATCTTCTCAAAGGTTTGTGAGAAATAAATCTAATCTCCCCCTCTTTTTTCAATCTATGCATGGTATATGTGCTAACTTACTGAATTCATCCTTCATGCAATTCCAGTTTATTAAAGAGGTTAAAAATTTATAAAACTCTGATGGGATATGGTTTTAATGCTTCATCACACTACCCATCATTTGCTTTTCAATCTAGATCAGAATGATCTTTCCGACTTCCCTGCAATCACCTACCTGCACAGCTAATATTTTCTGAGCGTTCTCCTGAGAGGCTGCCTGGATCCTCGCCAGCCCAGCCTGGCTGGAGAGGCCTCGCTGGAGAGGCTCCACCACTCGGCCAGCGTGGCCCCGCTCCATCGCCCCGGCAGCTGGGACAGCCACGCCAGCAGCGCCAACGCCGATGGCCACGGACACGGCAGCAATGGGGGGCACGCTGGGGGGGACAGGCCAGAAGGTAGGTGGGGGGAGGAAGGAGAAAAAAAAAACCCAACAGGAAAAAAAAAATTAAATTCCCAAGTCAGAGCAGGAGAGGAAATTAATGGCAGCGTTCAAGAAGAATGATGGAGGGAAATATAGAAAGCAGTCAATAGCCCATTCTGCGCTGTACGGACCTGACAGGAATTTCACAGTCTCTTGGTTTTTCAGCCCACTCATGTGCATTCGTCAGAAACCAGTCACATCTGGCTGCCAGGATGGGGGGTTAATTTTCTCTAAATGCCTCAGCAGTTTTGTTCTAGCTGAGGCAAACTCTGTGACTGCAAAGCTGATGAGTAAAATATTTCTACTTCACCCAGTTTAACTCAAAACCGATAGCCTCGGGACATATTGAACCTTTCTTAAAAAAATAATCTTTTGAAGCTTTTTGCAATGGCACATCAGGTCAGGCCAAAGTTTAAAATACAAGTTTAAGACTTTGATGGACACAAGGGCTTTTTTTTTTCTCTGTGTAAAGCTTATCATAGCTTGGCAATGTGTGCTTTAGTGCATGACAAAACTAAAGAGAATTAACTTAGCCATCAACTGCTCGGGGAGAACAATAACAGGAAAGAAATTTCCATATAGAAGTTCCTATTAATCTACCCAGCTATAACCACATGACATGAAAGCATCTAACAGCATTAAATTGCACCAAATGCAGTGGCTGAGAGTGACACTACTTAAAAAAAGGATTTTGTATTGACATAAAGAAAAGAGAACACTTATCCTAGGAATCGTATTCAGTGCAAAGGATCCTAAGTGATTCCAAGTGGGAGTACTTACCTGAAGGCTTTCACTTTTGGTTAACAGTACTGATTGTTAAATCCACAGTTAAGACTACAATCAGTTTTTCCTTTAACTGCAAGTATTTGGAACACATAAACATTGTGTGCTGGGTCTCAGTCTAGAACAAAAATGTTTTAAAGAGATCTAAAAATCTACCAACAGAGAATGGTTTTGAAAACATCTGAGGGTTTTGGCAAATACTGCAAATGCTGCTGCATACTATAGACTAGCTGTAATTTAGAAAATAGACATTTAAACCATATCATTCATTGCTTAGTGGAAATACACAGGTTTGAGTTTCATCAAGTTAATTATTTCAATAAATTCCATTGCTATTGTTATCATGAAGCCTTCAAGAGTATGCCTGTCAACCAGATTAACACAATGGATTGTACCATTCCTTTGGAAATATTGCATTTCATTAGAGGTCAATGCCACAGGTCAATGATTGGATCAGTTATAAAGAAGCTTTTACATTATAAGATATGACTGCTCTTTAGGAGCAAGCGTGGCATACCAGGTGAAAAATACACTTTTTCGAAAGAATGTAGGCTACAGTAATAGCTAGTGAGCTATTACAGCCTAGAGAGTAATTAATGCACATTTTCGAAATTAATGGCCTGATTTTTGGAGATACCAGGTTTCCATAAGTCCCCTTAGATTCCATGGAAGCTCTGAGTATGCTGCATCTTTCTAAATGAGGCTCTAAAATATTAAAGATCCTTGTACATAACATTTTGTATTCTGCCTGTGTATGTTAAAAATAACATAAGGTAAGGTAAACAAACTCAATTGAAAAATTAAAAAAAAACCCCAAAACAACCTGAATGACAGCCAGAACCTGAACCCAAATAGTACATTTTCCAGTTTGAAGAACCTTTTTTAAGTACTGGAGCTTCTTCCTGTCTATTTTAAAAATGTCTCTTCCTGCCTGTCTGCTGTTACTTTATTTTGAAATCTCACTTTTTCTGTTACCACTCTGAAGTCTGAAAAAGAATGCAGGTGAGAGAGGGGCAAAACATAAGAACTTAGGACATATTAATAAAACAACCTGCTTCAGGCCTGGAAAAACAAATTAAGTAGAAAACTAGTTTTGGATTATCAAAATCCTGATTTTGTAAAAAGTTAAATTAATTGCAAAATATATTGCATTGCTATATGATAAGGAAAATGGTGATTGGGGGAGCATGTGAAAGGATTTGACAGTAAACAGTGAAAGGGATTGGTGGTTATCAAGTTTGGTGGCTATCCGATTTCTTGTCTTGAGAGAATTAAAACACATTCAAAAGTTTTGAGGTTTAACTATATGAAAATTGCTATATTTATTGACAAACTGACAGTTTATAATGGCTGTTGTCCAGTACAACCTTTGCTAGTGTTTCTCATTCCAAAATTACAAGTCCATTACAGATGATGCTATTATGTATCATTTTTTGAAATGCATCTCATATTGCAAAAATATTTTATTGTGCCTAACATAATGGAGCCAAAAACAAATATTTATTATTTTACAATATTAATTGCAACATAAATAACATTTGTGCATGTGGTCAGAAAAACAGGTTTGTGAGAAAGTAGCAACTTGATCACATATTGTTGCCTGCAATCTTAGAGTAAACTGATGAACTCACTATCCTAGGAGGGGCCAAGTGAATTCCTGAGTCAACAGTAGAGCTTTAGCTGAGGGAGTGATTAAAAAAATTAAAATCTCAACTTAGCTAAAGAGCACTTCTAACACACAAAAAAAAGATTTCATAGGCTTTGCCATGATCTCCCTGTCCCTACAGGCACCAATACTGTTCTGGCAGATGCTGTTCTTGCTCATATAACAAACATATAGTTGTTAGCTTTTCCTGATCTTTTTCATTTTTTGTCAGACATAGAGACTTAAAAAGGCATGGCATGCAGGAGTTAAATACATGGCATTGTTGCTTGCTCATTAATTTTTCCATGTTGTGTTTTTTAGTATTCTGAGCTCATTGAGACAAATGCTGGCAGACAAGTTAACAATATCCATCTCCAGTGGCCAAGGTGTAGAAATAGGTACAGTAGCCAAATATTTATGTGAAATTCACTTTGGTTTTGATGTTTGCTTTGCCGTGACAGCAGGACTGAAGGACAAAGGAAATAGAAAGACGAGCAAGCTCCAGATTTTGGGGATTCAAAAGGAAAGGAAACACTGTGATTCCTGTTTCTGTCATTCTTGAATCTGCCATGGCTGCAGCTGATACAGGTGGACAGAAGGACGATTTTTGCAGCAAGCAGTCTTCTCCTAGTCCTCATCCTGAAAACAAGGAAACAGTGAGCCAATGGCTTTGCTGGAGTGACACCTTTGGGAGCTGCTGGGGAAGATAAATAATCTCATGGAGTGGCCCTTGCCATTCTTCTGCTTTGGGGCTTCACTATCATTCCTCTGGCATTGTAGCTCCCCTCCGTGACTCACAGCAGAGGGCACCATATGACTCCATAATTACTTGATTCCTTTTTACACCTGGCGCTAATATCATCCATAATATCAGCATAAATTTGGGAGAAGGATGAGTGAACTACCTGATATTACTGTCCTACTAGAGAGGAAACTTATGATTTGGGGTACCTTAATCTGTTCTCACCTTTACCTTTTTTTGTTATAATAAATCTAGGTACTTCATTTAATCCATACCTGACTTGCAGTAATATGAATGAAATCAAGGTAATATTTTAACCTGTAATTTCTTATTTAAAGGAATCAAAATGGATTAAGAAGTATATTATACTATTTGAAGCTCAGGCCTATTAAAGCCTAATTCATTATTCCAGTGGCATTGTTTCTAGGTCCTTGTTTATTAATGTTACCACTATATTCGGATCCTCTATATTGCAAACCACAATTAAACTGAAAGAAAATCCCGAATAGAAAGAAGTAACTTTATCTTATTTAGACCAGAACATTTTTTTAATTTTGTTGTCTGGAGGTTCACAGGAATCCAAAATTTTCACTTGCTTGTCTTTTATTACAGAGTCTAGCTGCATAGCACTAGAACAACACTGATTGTAGACATATTTGACAATGAACCAAAAGCTAGGGATTTTTACTTGTTTAAACACCAAATGTCACATGGCCCCATTAAGAACACAAAGTGAACAGCACCTGGAACTCAGTCATGATGCTTTTTCTCAGTCAATAATATACTATTTGGACTGCTTCAATTTCCAATTCTGGACAGTGATGGCATGCTAGCATCATATTGGGTTAAGATTACAAACATATTTCTCCTCTTAGCTGTTTTTAAATAATGAGATTCAGTTGATCTGAATATAGATGTTTCACTTTTACCCCGAGAATGAGAAGACTCGCTATGAATAAAATGTTATTTTATTTTACAAAATTATTCCTATTATAAATGTATTCTGCATTTAGAATACATACTTACATATAAGGTGTCTGATCCATTCAAATGGGTGATACAGAAAATAGTAGATACTAATACAGGCAAAACTATTATTCTCAAAAAGAAAAAGCTTATCTCAAAATAAAATTATCCTTAAATTTTGCCAAACTTTATACATTTGATCTAAAAATATGCATGGCAGGTGTTCACCTCAGGCTGAGTTTGTTTGGGTAGGCCAAGCAGCTTGCTATTTTGTTTTCAGGAACTCTAGGCAAAATAAATTATTGTGCTTTTGTTACCAAATTACATGTTTATTTCCTTTATTAGATGCAGTTTGGAAAGAGGACTCACATTTTACAGGAGACAGCGTTTTTCTGTGTGATATGACTTTTTCATAAATATATTCTGCTAAAAACTGTAAGTCTTTGGAAAACTATTGTCTGCAAATAGTCACAAACAGATGTTTTCAATTTTTATAATTTTTTAATAGCATATTGTCCTCTGTGAGCATTCTTGACCTTCTCAGTAGTCCTACAGTTGTTCACATTATGTACCAATATTGCTAAGCAAGTAAGAATGCTTGTTTCTGTGTAACTCTACCCTGTACATAAACCATCTTCACAAAGTGGTTTGTCACACATTAGGTCAGGAATACAGCACTGAAACTTGGTCGTCGTCTTTAATTAGGTCATTATTTTGGTCTTGGATGAATTTAATTAGTGACAGCAATGTGACTATCTGTGTACCAGAACAAATACCCATCTATTGATGCTCAGAAAACCTGGAGAAACAAGGCTTTGCAAAAAATGGATAGCTTCTT